AGCGGTGGCGATCAACACGATACGGCTCTCACTCTACCTGGCACCTTTCTGCTCCAGCCCTAGGGACTAAGGCTGGTGGGTCGGTGGCCTGGGGAGTTCTGGGATCCCTGGATCGGCCGTTCCTCACCTCGTCTTCTCGCTCCCAAGCCTCTGGGCGTTGGTTTGCTAGTGCGTGCTAGTCGCCGGACAAGCCCGCCAGGCGCTCTCTGGCGGCGGGCTGCTCGCCAGTCGGTGTGGCTTGACGGCGGATGAAATTGATGATAGACAGGGGCGGCTTCTGTTTGCATTTTGCTTGTTTGTTGGCGCGCGGCCAGACGAAACACTCGGGCGACCAACCGTGGGCTCGTTTCGAGGCATTCGTTGGACGACGGACGATGGATCGTGGGCCCGGCTGGGGAATGGGTTTCAGAGCTCAGCCAGTCGATGGAGCGACCCCTCAAGCCTCCAGCTCATGCAATGCGGAGAGCACGCTTGTTCCTGGCTTTTTGCGCCTTGTTCCTGGGCGTTCCGTCTGCCAAAAAGGCTTCCTTGGTTCATGGATTCACGCCCGCATGGCTCCCTCGCTCCAGGGCTCCCTCAGCTCGGGCTTGTCAACCCACTCGACCATATCCGCTTTGGGGCAAGACGACTGAGCAACGCCCGATATTAATAGCCTGGCGGCGCCAGCGCACTCTCGGGCCACTGCCGTCTTGTCGTCAAGCCCACCTCCAGCTTATTTCCTTCACGAGCCAGTCCCTTGGCCTCGTATTCATCCTCAGTCTTATCTGGCGCGGACCCAGGCCCGGACCCTCTTGGCTTTGCTTTTTCATACCTTGAGGCCTGGCTAAGCCTTTCGCTTCCGTCTGACAGTGGCAGGGTCCATTGTTCTTTATTTCTTCTTATATGCGCTCACTGTCCCGTTCTGTTTTGTTGTCGTGAATAAGCTTCACTCGTTCTTGCCGCATCTGTACACACGTACCTTCCTTCCTTCACCTCACCTCACTCACATCGTCATCGACCACTAGCCTCCGACTCAATCACTCCCTCATTCTCTCAACGTCTCTCAATCGCTATCATCGCATATTGCGGCCCACGCCTTCTCCCCCACGTCTGCTGGGTGATATTGTGATCCTCAAGTCGCTGTGCGACAAAACTCACACATCTCCAACCAATTCGACACCAGATCCGTCCGATGAAGTGGCTACCTATTGTCGCCGCAGCCTCAGCTGCTGCGACTAAAACACTGCCTTCGAGCCTGAACATTTCAGATCCCGGTAAGTCTTCGCCCAGATCGTTGTTTTGGTGCCTGCGCTTACAGAGACCACAGACTCCATCCGCGATGTCGCAGCCAGCATAGCGTACGACACCATGTCGTATTACAGCGGCAACACCTCCAAGGTTGCCAAGGTAAGGCAGTCCCTTTTCTTTTGAATAGAACACCGCTGACTAGTCCAGGATCTCGGCGACCTCCAGGATCCTTATTACTGGTGGGTGGCAGGCGCGCTCTGGGGAACCATGCTGGACTATTACCACCTCACCAACGACCCCAGCTACAACGACGTAATTATCCAAGCCCTCCTCGCCCCAACCAACCTAGGCACTGGCGAAGATTATATGCCTGCCGAACACGCCGACGAGGAAGGAAACGACGACCTTTTTTTCTGGGGCTCCGCCGTCCTCTCTGCCGCCGAGCGCAACTTTCCGCAACCCAACAAGGACCTCCCATCCTGGCTCGATATCGGAGCCAATGTCTTCAACCAACTCGTCGGTAGATGGGATACAACAGCCTGTGCAGGAGGTCTACACTGGCAAATATATTCTACGAACCCGAACGGAATGGATTACAAGAACTCCGTTAGTAATGGTGGCTTCTTCCAACTTGCAGCACGACTCGCTCGTGCAACCGGTAACGAGACCTATGCCAATTGGGCTGAGTATATATGGAATTGGTCATCCGATATCGGCTTTATTGATCCCGATAACTACCACGTTTACGACGGTGCCAGCTCGGCCGACAACTGTACCAAAATTAACAAGTACTCGTTCACTTACACCAGCGGAATCTACTTGTATGGCGCTGCCGTGATGGCCAACTACACCGGAAGGGCCAATTGGAAACAACGCACCGAGGATATTTTCGATGGAGCCGGCTGGTTCTTCTCTCCATACGAAAACTCGACCAACGTCCTGTATGAGGCCGCTTGCGAAAAGGTCAACCGGTGCAGCGTCGATATGTCGACCCACAAGGGCTACTTGGCCCGCTCCATGTACCAGTCCACTCAACTCGTGTCCTCGCTCAGTGACAAAGTCGACACCCTTATGTTTCCTTCCGCCGAAGGCGCGGCCCAGGCATGCAGTGGTGGCGAGACCGGTCGAACCTGTGGCCAGCGGTGGTACACTGGCGCCTACGACGGCAACCCGGGCCTCGGCCAGCAGATGTGCGCCCTCGAGGTCATCCAGGGCCTTCTGACCGACGATTCTCCCGCGCCTCTGAAGGGTGATGATATCAAGGTCATCCGCAATCTCGAATGGCAAGCGACTGTCAAGGTCAAAAGCACACCCACCACCACGTCCCAGCCCTCCGCCACCGAGACCAAGGCCGAGGAAAGCGAGGACGCCGCCAGCATGGCCCGGAGCAACCTGGTTTTTGCATCGCTGAGTGTCAGCACTGTCCTGCTCTTCCTTGGACTGGTCTGAGGAATAAAAGAAGAAAGATACCCTCCGTTTTGTATATTTTTACTCTAGAGGTTGCACATACGAACTGAGCTTGGCCGAAGAGAGGCGTTTCGTTTTGGATAACATATAAACTGGGCCCTCGTCAGGGCGAATCGGGACATGGAATTCGCATCATGCCATGACTATTGTTTCTATAATTTACGAGATTATGTCTAGAGGAACTAGATCTATGCTAGAACGCCGTTTTGCCTCGTTTTCCGTCTCTGCCCTTCTACAGTGCTTTGTCTGTTGTGATGTTCTACAAGTCTCTCACCTCATTGAGTGACGTCCGTAGTGATTCCAGAAATCTGGTGACTTCAGTCTCGGTGCCAATGGTGATACGCAGGCATCCTAGACAGCCGTGCTCCTTGCCTCGGAAGCGAACGACAACACCCTTGGACTCTGCCAGTTTCTCGTAGACGGCCAACGCAGTTGTGTTGTCCGGGTTGCCCGCCACGTCGAGCATCTCGAAGAGCAGGAAGTTACTCTCGGTGCCACCGCGCAGACGGCCAACGCCGGGTATCTTGGGCAGCTCTTCCAGGATGCGGTCACGTTGTGCAAGAATCTTGGCACGGTTGTCGCGCATGATTGACAGGCCCTTGTCGGAGACGGCGTAGGATGCGAGGGCACTAGTAGGACTAGAGATGTTGTAGGGGGCTTTGAGGCTGTTGAGGAGGCTGGCAATCGGGGGAGAGGAGAAGGCGGCACCAAGACGGATGCCAGCCAAGCCAAAGGCCTTGGACAGAGTCTGCATGACAACAAGGTTGGGGAACTCCGTCACCCACTCGGCGAGGGACGCATCTTCGGGAGCGAAGTCGATGTAGGCCTCATCGAGGACCACGACGCCGTTCCAGGTGGGGTGGTTGAGGATTTGCTCGACATCGGCCTTTGCGAGGACCGAGCCGGTAGGGTTACCGGGAGAGCAAACGTACACAAGCTTGATATTCGCCTCGTTGGTGAGCGCGTCGAGGATCTTGGGCACATCGAGCGCGAACGTCGGGGCCGGTAGCAGGGGAACCTTGACGATGGCGACGTCGTTGACCTGGGCAGACACGGCGTACATGCCATAGGTGGGCGGGCAGGTGAGGATGCGGTCGCGGCCGGGCACGCAGAAGCAGCGCAGCAGGGCGTCGATGGCCTCGTCGCTGCCGACTCCGACGAAGAGGTTATCGGGCGTGAGCGTCTTGGGAGTGTGGGCGTGGGTGTTGCGCAGGGCGCAGAGCTGCTGCTTCAAGTCGGCCTGGTGGGGGTCGGGATAGCGGTGCAGGCCGAGGAAGTCGACGTCGAGGCCGCTGCCGGCAGTCGTGGCAACATCTGGGGCGAGCGATGGTCCAAAGGCGTTCTCGTTGGCGTCGAGGAGAATGTTGGTGCCGTCGTCCTTGTAGTCGCTGTGGCCGTTGGTCAGTCCGTGTGGTTTTCGCGGGGCAGATATCAGAGCGGGGGAGGGGCAACTTGCTCTCTCGCGCAGCGGTACGGCTGGAGAGCGAGGATATTGGGGCGGGCGCAGGCCTCGAGGTTGAAGGGGGACATTGCGGCGTCGGGTGTTTCCCTTGGGAGTGTGAATTGGGTTGAATTGGTGACGGGCTGGCTGAGGATGCTCAATCGGTTGAAGCTCGCGCGCCTTCCTCCATCTTAAACATCGGAGTCCCGCCGACGCCGGAGGGGCGAGTCATCGGCTTTTGGGTGGGCCGCTGATTGTGACTGCAGGAATCAATTTCATAGCGGAGTACGATGCACCTTGGCAGCCAGCTTCGCGATGATGACTGTGTAGCATCCCTGAGTTGCCCAGTAGGAATAATTCTATCTGCAATGCTTCCCAGCCGCCAAGGAGTTTGATCCTGTAGAGTTGACTCACTGGTTGAGAGTTACATCCCTGCGAGTCTGCGACTACCCTGTACAGGAAATTGTTTACCGAACCTCCCCTGGATTTTGTGATGAGAACAGCAAGGTGACGTGTCTATCTGTGAAATTAAAATGTTAGTCACTGGATACATCATATTTGCAGTATTAAAGGATGTTTGTATACTTGGTTGAAGATTGCGATGCGGGACAGCATTTCCTACCGCATTTATGGTTCTCGAGCACTTTAAGCAGACTCACATGCCGAAGTTTGACAAAGCCCTCAAGTTATGGGGAAGAATAAATATGAAGAACAAGAAATGTGTGTTTGAGAATCCAATTAATTAATCTATATCTCTCCTGTAGTAACCTGTCGTGAGGGTATCTGGGAATTAGAGCCGAGAATTCTGTAAGTGATGCCCGCTTTACAATAAAGAATACGAAGACTCCAATCAACCAACAGCAACGGTCGCGTGGCCCAATGGCAAGGCGTCTGACTACGAATCAGGAGATCGTGGGTTCGAGCCCCACCGTGACCTTCTCTTTTGCCGGTTTGAAGAACTGGTTTAAGATTTCTTTTTGGTGTGAGTAGCGTCTTGTTGCAGGAATTTCTGGGTTCTCCGTTGTGCATATAGAGCTAATTAGGTATTTCTTAGGAGGTTTTTCTTTTTTCTCTGGATATACTTATTATAATAGGCTTTTCATTGTTGAAATCACTGTTCTGACTACTGTTTCAAATTCTGTACAGTCACGTGCTTGCACGAGTGTAATAAGGGACTTGGTCTATTGATTGTGAACCTAATTACAGTCTTTTGCCTCTTCTATATCAGTCCGCTAACTCCGGGAAGGTATTGGGAAAGGTGACCAGTTGGACTAGAAACCTTAGTCTGTTTGAGTAACTGTTGACCTTTAAATAGACTGGGTATATAGTCTGTATTGTTAATACTATTGTTGGTGATTTTTTTTTTACTGTTAAGCTTCTAGTCCCCCCTCTGGGTATGTGTGTACTAGGGCACCCTAACCTCTTGATAATGGGCTTTTAGAAACAATATAATAATTAGCTTGAATTATATTATATAATAGATATCTGAATTAATCCGTATTAAGGCAGTTAGTTATACTGGTGTATTTCTGGCTCACAATGTGAAAGTGCAGCCCTTATGTGTAGTATGCTTTGTGGAAGGGCTGATGGACTGATTCTCTCTCTATTACAGCAGACTCAGAGGTTGGTATCTACTAAAACAACAGCTCTTCCACTATCAAATACACGGTCGCGTGGCCCAATGGCAAGGCGTCTGACTACGAATCAGGAGATCGTGGGTTCGAGCCCCACCGTGACCTTCAATCATTGTTTTTTTTGTTCTTCTTCGCTTTTTATTCCCATTTGCGGGTGGTGTTACCTTTTTGCCTCACGCTCGTATCCTCCTCGAACATGCCCTGAGCCGATAAACTGGAATCACACGGTATTCATCCTTTATCACTCCCGAGGAATGTAGGCTTGCTACCCTTTGATCTGTACCATTTCTGTTGTTCAGCGGGGACAATCGTTCCGGAAGGTCACTGAATTCTTGGGACTTCCTTAAGCAATCAATCTTGGCAAACTGTTTGGCTAGTAATGCCCTGTAATACGAAAACATCGATGCCCCGTGTTATCTCCAAGAGCTATATACTCACCCTTTAATGCGAGGGTGAGGTTTTGCTACTCTCTTCATTATCCACCAAAGAACGATTGTTTGGCAAACAAGCCTGCAAACAATGAATGTTTTCAAGGCTTCCACTATTAGGTTCTGGGTATAAATATCATCTCGGGGCATCTGAGAATTGCACTTCCCTCTTTCACTGTCAACCCTACTACCAGATTTCTTCTATACTATCACCAGATTTCTTTCGCACGATCATCATGGGGACACAGCATCCATCCAACCCGGCCTAATGCGTGAATGCTTGCTCTGTAGAGCTTATACGTCCGCCGCCCATATCGCATTCACGGCTACGGCAAAAGCGGAATGACCACTCCACTAATGCGTAGTGTAACGAAGGCCTATATTATATGTGACGGCCCAAGGCTGTACAAGTGGACTTGGAAGTGCCTTAGGTAAGTTACCCACACCCCATCCCATGGTACCACTCTTCCATTTGCTCGGTCCTTCGACGAAGTATTGTTAGAAAGGCTACCGCCAACGACAACGTGTGAAAGAGGTACGCCGAGTGGCATCCTCGGAAAGCCGATTGTTGCGCGAGTTCACCGAACTCGACAAAATAATTCAGAATGCCACATCCCTTGGTAGACTGACTGCGACTCAGATTTGGATTGAGAAGCTTCGAGACTACAACCTGACACATTTCATCAAGTATAGCAGTGAGGGCAAGATCGAGGGAGTTTCTGGACTTATCCCTGGTGTGAGACGATGTGGAATAGATTCCCGGAAGTTCTTGGACCCCTCAGTACTACGGGACGTGCCAACACTCAGAGACCAATAGGTTCAAAATGTACCTGTTTCAGGTCACTGGTGTCGCAGACCAGAAATCCATCGCAAACTTCTGCTTTCAACTCATCAACACTGAGAAAGAGGGGAGATTTTTTGGCTCCGTGAGAACACGGATGTACCAAGGGCCACTCCCAAGACTGGCAAAGCTCTAGCTGGCTTTACCCGGGTCCCCAACAAGGGCCCAGGCAAGGCTTCTCCCGAGCCAAAACTGATGCCAGCGCTAGCTTTGAGGGCACTCCGGGCTTCCATTGCCGAGGGGAAAAAGCAATCCTTCTCTGCAGTGGCGTCTAGTTCCGCTGTCGGTTCCGGTTGGGGCCCTCATATACCGGGGGTTATGCCAAGAAGCCATACACCCTATCCTCCCAGAGGTCAGAAGTCCCAGCCTCCAAGCGGCCGGACGTCCCATCAGCCAAGCTGCAAGACGCCCCAGAAGGGGCCAGCCAGGGACCACAAGTATTTGTCGGTCGCTGAGAAACATGCAGCTTCGATGGCGGCCATAGAAAGACTCCGGCTCTCGAAGATGGCGGATACATCCAATGCACTGCTGCAGGTCCTAGAGACTGGCATGAAGGCACAGCCAAAGGTGCAACTAAAGGTGCAGTCGAAGGCACAGCCAGCCTGCACCCGTCCTGCGGCCCAGGTACCGGCTCCCAATACGCCGCTGAGCATGCCAGTCGCACCAGCTGCCCCAGTTCCTTCGCCTGCGTACTGGAAGTACAATGGAGAGTTATATCCAGGGGAGCCGGGTGGCTTGGGGCTCCTTGCTCTGTTACATTCTCAAAAGCAAAAAAAACGAGGAAACAAAACTTACGCCATCTTCCCGGTGGTTGTTGTGTCGACACAAAAGCTTCATTCGACCACGAATTATGGGCTGCAAGATTTATGAACACGCTGGCTAAGTTTGGGGAGCCGTGGGCCACCATGCAGACGCAGCAGGCCGAGGGGCGTATCAACAGGAAAGGTCAGACGATAATATGAACCGAAACGGATCACGAACGCTATTATTCGCCCTCGATCATGTTTGTCCCTGTAGTGACACTCAACCAGAAACTCCACAATATCATCAACATAAGGATCAAGGATCCAAGACCTAAATAGGACAGGGAATTGTGGACTTCGCTATCACCACAGTCGAACCTCAGCTATCGTACGACATGCGACACAAGACTTCCACATTGTATAGGAGGCTGTACGGAAACCCCGTCAACTTGGCAGACCCCGAATTCTTAGAGGTCCTGTCTGCCACCATCGACGACCCAACAGTCACAAACACGCCTCAACGTCAGCGCCCGAAAGATACCCAGACCAAGCGCGCCAGAGGCCGGGCCAGTGCGGGGACACACGAAATGGACTGAGTTGCACAGGACGACAGGACCGGCGGAGGCGGAGAACCGCGGAATACGCACGTACGATACATATACTTATAGCTTTCTCATGCTTGATAATGTGACGCTCAGAAGGTCATCAATGACGACGGCAAGCTGGAGCTCGACCCAATCGGAATCTTGCTCGTCCATGCCGCACAAATCCTTCTCTTTGCACCGTGCAAATGGCATGAAGAGATCGAATACTCCGCAGACCCAGGCGCATACGAGCATCGATTCCCGTCGACACGCGGCGGAGCATACGATCTGAAGATAATCGGAGACCGATTTTCAGTCGAAGATGTCAACCGTGCTGTCCTGCTCCTCTACTACTGCGAATATCGAAGAAGTAAACGCGGCAATTGGCTGAACGGGCAGGCGCTTTCTGGGTGGTTCATCCTCTCGCGAGAACGACTATCTATGAAAATACTACTACAAGATGAACACGCTGTCTCGATTTACAAAACGAACTCGTGGCCGTCTACTTAATCTCAAAACATTAATTCGTTTTTTAATCATTGTGCTCGTGTTATTGAATAGTAAATGCGATAAGATATAAATGCTATCAATCACAATCTGTACAATGGTACTCAAGATGAACTAGCATGTCACCGTATCCATCTATGTGTCTAGTTTACGGCAATAAAACCCCCCAAAAAACAGAAGCCGCCTAGCAGTAGCACAAAATGAACCAGACGAACAGCCCACGAAACCTTACACGTAAGGGTTGGTTTTGACCGAGTTGTCCACGGGAGTACGCGAGATAATGTAAGCTCGGTGCTGTTCAGTGAGTCGATACTCCTGATGAAGGGCAAGATCAAGCTCAATGGGACTGCGGCGATAGCGGCTTGCCAGGCTGCAAAACCATGGTGGTGAGACGAAAGGCTGAGGAGCTGGGCCATCCGCTAGGTGTGCCAGATCGCAACAAGCTGCTGAGAAAGGTTAGCGAAGGACCCAAAAGGGACCCTATGAGAAGAGTAAGGGCACTTACGGCAGTAACGGCAGGAGCCGGGTATTGTAGAGCTATAATAGTACGGCGAGAGGCAACTTCGTCGCGGTATTGCTCAAGCTGCTCCTAGAGTAGGGGGGCGAACAATTAGTTAAAGACTTCAAAATATATGAGGATATAATATACGTCGCAGTCCCGGTCAGTGCGGTCAATCCCAAACTCTTGGCGGTGGGTAGTCACCACATCATTGAAGGCCTCGCATAAACGCTGGGCTACGGCCATGAGAAGGGTTCGAGTCCGCCGTGAAAAGGCATGTGCGAACTCATCGTCAAGATAAGGGCTGTCAATGGGGCTTTGGATAAATTTCAGCAGAGAATTAAGATCCATCAAATCGCCGTCAAGCATAGCAGGGGCACTACACTCACCATTTTAGTCTAGGATACCCCCAAGAAACACAGGAGAAACACACATGGTGCATGCAAGGATATCATCAGCGCGGCGAGTGCACTGAGAAGACCCAGCATTGGTAAACGTACAGTCAAACGAGGGAAGTTGAACTGGGCGGCGCGCATGGATCGGGCAGGCCAGGGCGAGAGACTGCTCTTGCAAGGCAACGCGAAACTAATGCATGCACCAGACAAACTCGGAGGGGACGGCCTTTGGGCGGGTGGTAGGGAAATGAAGCCGAGGGCTAGGCATTTTGGCGGGATTCCGTGAGGAGTGTGTTGGTAGATTAA